CATATTGTGTGAACTTCTGCCCTGTGCTTGCAACAGAGAGGAAATGTTGATTTTTCAAGTAAGGCTTCAACCACTTCTCAAAAGAAGCTGCTTTTCAATTGCACAGTGACTTTAAAATGAATTGCTCATGGAACACAAGTTATATGGCTTGTGGTTTCCTATGTTTCCTGGTAAAGAGTGAAAGCTGCTAATTGGTGCACTAGGGAACTCCTCAAGCACAGAGTTCACTTCCAATAAAACAGTGGTCCCCAAAATGCAGTCCCTGGACCAGCCACATCAACAATTGCCTAATGGTTGGAAATGCAAATTATCAGGCACACTGAGTCAGAAATTCTGAGGGTAGTACCCAGAATCTATGGTCTAAGGTGATTCTAATTTCATCCACATTGGGAAACTATTTCAACAGAGGGTTCTATTGCTGTTAAAGAACTTGCTGAACAACATATAAGTTAATTAAGGAGGCTAAAAGCTGCATCCTCCTTCAGAGGATTTAGTAGGTGTTAGGGGGAGGAGAGAGGGAGGGAGAGAGGGAAGAAAGGAGGGTGTAAGGGTGTGTGTGTGTGTGTGTGTGTGTGTGTGTGTGTGTGTGTGTGTTTAACATGAGCATGAGATCAGAATCGCTGCTCTGATTGAAAAAAGAAAAAAAAAACTCTATAGGACAGAAAAAACAGCTAATACTGGGGGGGTTATTAGAATAACAGGACTAAGGTTGACAGTGGCAACTCCGAGCCAGAGCTATGGCTTTCTTTCCAGATCTTACAGAGACCTGTTCATTTTTTTTCATGGGTCTTTGAGAGGTTTTATTATTTTCTTTTACATATTAAAAAGTTTTCAGTCATCAGAGCATTGAATATCCACTAAGGGTCACACCATTCTTTTTTTTCCTTTTTAAGCTTTGTTATTATTCCAGGAACATGTAGAAGAAGACAGAGCCAGCATTTACCCATCTGTATTCACCAACTCTTCCAAGGAGATGATATGCTTTCCAGACTTCTCGTACCCCGAAGATTACCCCAACTTCCTGCACCATGGCAAGCTCCAGGAATACATAAGGACATTTGCTGAAAAGAAGAATTTTTTAAGATATATACAGTTTGAGGTATGAGCCTTATAACTTGTGCTGTTGAAATCAAAATGTGTATGGGTTAGAGCCGTAGTCAGCAAACTGCAGCTCGATAGCCACATGCGGCTCTTTGGCCCCTTAAGTGTGGCTCTTCCATAAAATACCATGACTTGGGCGAGTCTATTTTGAAGAAGTGGCATTAGAAGAAGTTTAAGTTTAAAAAATTAGGCTCTCAAAAGAAATTTCAATTGTTGTACTGTTGATATTTGGCTCTGTTGACTAATGAGTTTGCTGACCACTCTGTTAGAGAAAAAGCAAGGCCACAGCACTCACCTGGAGAAATCAGAGCCAAAAGGTTGGACACCAAGGATCCAAGATGGCTGCGCCCAGGTAAACACCTAGCCGCAGCTGCACACAACAATTTTAATAAAATACAACTAAAATATAAAATGGACATTACCCAGAACTACAGGAAAGTCGACTGACTGGAAATTCTACAAGAAGCAAGGAGAAAACCAGAAGGAAGCGCGGAGGAGCTGGAAAAGCCCAAGGTACAGAGACGCACAGCACGCTGAGAGGACAGAGCCAAAGAGGAGGGAGGCCGCATGCCTGGCAGGCGTTCCCTAGCTGGAAGGAGATAAAACTCCGACTGTGCTGGGCCCCATTCTGACTGCTCTGAACCCCAGGCCTAGGCCAGACCCCGGGGACCCAGGCTCACACAGAGGGAGCTGGGCTGCGAGGCGGAACCCGGGAAAGCAGCGAAAGGGGGTCCCGGCGGCACGTGCGCGCAGAGAAGGGACACAGGAAGGAGACAGAAGCGCCAGACTGCTCTGAACGCCACCTCCAACTCCACTTCCAACTGAACTAAACCCCAATATTGGGGGAAAGGATAGACTGTTTGGCAGCAGGCGAAAATCGAGGGCACCTTTCTCTCAGAGGCGCTTGCAGCAAGTACTGAAAGACCCGCATAGGGCGGGGCTGATGGAAGCCAAGGCTGCAGGCTCCACCCTGAAACCCCACCCCATCTGTAGCTGCAAAATGCGACAACGAAATAGATCACAAATGAAAGAAATGAAGGACAAAAAGCAACTGGATATAGAGTTCAAATCTATGCTTATAAGGTTTTTCAAGAATTTCATAGAAAAGATGGATAAGACCTATGAGGATATGAAAAGGGATCAACTAGAATTAATAAGGAATCAACAAGAAATGATAAGGGATCAACAAGAAATAAAGAATACATTGTCTGAAATAAAAAATATTATACAGAGTCCTAAAAACAGAATGGAAGATCGTAAGAATCAAGTCAAAGATTTGGAGCATAAAGAGCCAGAAGACACTCCTCCGCAGAAGCTAGAAGGCAAGAGAATCCAGAAAATTGAAGATAATGTAAGAAACCTCTGGGACAACTTCAAGCGAACCAACATCAGAGTTATGGGGGTCCCAGAAGATGAGAGAGAGCAAGATATCTAAAACATACTGAAAGAAATAGTGACAGAAAACTTCCCCCACCTGGGGAAAGAATTAGACTTACAAGTCCAGGAAGCGCACAGAACTCCAAACAAAAGGAATCCAAAGAGGACCACACCAAGACACATCATAATTAAAATTTCAAGAGCAAAAGACAAAGAGAGAATATTAAAAGCAGCAAGAGCAAAGAAGATAGTAACCTATAAAGGAGCACCTATACAATTGTCAGCTGACTTCTCAACAGAAACTATGCAGGCCAGACGGGAATGGCAAGAAATATTCAAGGTGATGAATAGTAAGAACCTACAGCCAAAGATAATCTATCCAGCAAAGCTATCACTCAGAATCGAAGGTCAGATAAAGAGCTTCACTAATAAAAAAAAAAGCTAAAGGAGTTCATCAACACCAAACCAGAATTATATGAATTGCTGAAGGGGGTTCTTTCAGAAGAGAAAGTAAATAAAGATAAAAATTATGAACAACAAATACATAACTATCAACAAGTGAATCTAAAAACCAAGGAAATTAAAAAAAATCTGATGAACAATATTAACTGTTGAATATAATAGAGTCAGAGGTATGGAAGGGGAGTGAACTGACGATTCTTGGGGAAAAGGGGAGAGGGGGATGTGGGAAGAGACTGAACATAGACTGTGCACCTATGGATGGGGACAATGGGGAGTGGGGAGGGGGTGGAGGGTGGGGTGGGAACCTGGTGGAGGAGAGCAATGCGGGGTGGGGGGAGGAACATTTGTAATAATATGAATAAAAACTTATTAAAAAAAAAAAAAAAGGTTGGACACCGCCCTCGTTGGAGATAAGCTGTGTTAGTGCAGATTGTAAAATATTCATGTATTGTTGATGTGTTTTGTTTTGTTTTTGTCCCTAAATATGTTCCCCATGAATCTCTGAGAGCTTTTAAAATGCTACACAAAATGCTGCCATAGTGTGCATTCCATCCTCATGCTCTCATATTTTAGAAACTGTCGCTCTTGCCTGGGGAGACATGTCCAAAAATATACTTATAAGACCAGTGTCAAAGAGTTTTTGACACTGTTTTCTTCCAGGAATTTTAGGATTTCTGATCTTACATTTAAGTCTTTAATCCATTTTGAGGTGGGTATTTTTTAATATAGTGTAAGAAAGTGGTCCAGTTTCATTTTTTGCAGGTAGTTATGCAGTTTTCCTATCACCATTTATTGAAGAGACTGTCTTCTCTCCATTGTATATTCTTGCTTCTTTGTTGCTAGTTAAGTCTTCTTAATTAATGGTAGTGCTAATAACAGATTGTAAAAAGATTAATTATCCAGTTTTATATCAATCCAGAAAGAAGCAATGGACAGGAAGATCTTAGAAGGACCACTAGATTCATCCAAGTCTGTGTATCCACAAGCAGACAGATCAAGATGAGGTATGGATCTAGTCAGGGTAAAGAGATAAGTACAGAATGCTAGGACTTGGAAGTTGTCAAGTCTAATAAAGCCAAGCCAAAAAAAAAAGTATGTCATTTCTGAGAAATCCATCTTGACAATCTATTTTATTCATCCAGACAGAGTGATATGTCAGAAATAGTGCCTAATAGATTCATCTAATAGTGCCTAATAGATTCATAAGCAGACAGATCAAGATGAGATATGGATCTAGTCAAACTTGACTAGATATGGATCTAGTCAAACAAAAAATATTTTTGTTTGTGTGTGCATAGGTGTATGTATATAAATATCTACAAAATACAGCAAATTTTCTCTATAGGATAGCGTTAAGGGTAATTTCAACTTCTTTTCACTTATCCATATTTGCATGTTTGCTAATTTGCAAATGAACATTGTCTACACCCACTACAAAAATGGTTTTTAATCTATCTGATATGTAAGTGTATGTATAGTATTGGCACTAAAAGGCATTTCTCCATTTCCCTGGACCTCAAAATATGGGCTCCTTGCTTGATTTCATCACTAACAAAGTCCTTTGAGTTTCCACTGGCAAAATGCTGGAATTAGACACTCCTCCCATTTCTCGCTGCCTTCTTCAACTCTTAAACCCTTCTGACTGCGTTGGAGCACACAACCGACAAAGCAAACCATTGTGTGAGAGAGACAGCGCCAAAAAGGTAACAACAAAGGTAAGAAGCTGACAAGGAAACGTTCAGCCCTAAACTCTAAGGCTCTCAACTGTAGTGAACATAACTGCAGATCTGGCTCATCTCCCTAGAACTTTGTCTTTGAACCACTTGGCTTTGTTAAGTAGGTTGTTTTTAAATGTTGAACCAAGACTTTGTAAACAAGGCTTGCAATAAAGCCCGTGAGACTTTGGAATTTGGCTATTGAGGCATTTTATTCCATTCCAGCTGGTTATTAAACTACCACTACTATAGCATTTAAAGCCCAGCACCTGAACACACCATAAGGCTCTCTTATCTTTTGCCCCACTGAAAGCCACTGACTGATTAATTCTGTGAAAGGAGACCATGGCAAAGAAGGTGGCAGTGATTGGAGCTGGTGTCAGTGGACTGATCTCTCTGAAGTGCTGCGTGGATGAGGGACTCGAGCCGACCTGCTTTGAGAGGACCGAAGATATTGGAGGACTGTGGAGGTTCAAAGTATGTGAGATTTTCTTGTTTCTTGCACAGGGTGAAGCATAGCTACCGATGAGCCTTATGAGGGATTCCCTAAGCAACTCTGATCAGATTTACTTCATGCAGCTATACAGGAGTTAAAGAAATAGGCTAGCATCTCTCCCAGGTCATTACTAATCTAACACACATGGCAAAGCCAGGCGTGTGAACAATCTTCTCTTATGTCTTTATCTTACAGCCCATTGTTTTTGTCATTCTCAAAGCAATGTGCTAGTATTAGAGAACTTACAAAATAGAAGTGACAGGAGTTTTTTTCAAGACACCACTTCTATTCCAATCATTGAGCAAATGCTTTTTTAGAGAGTGTGCTCTCATTACTAATGATTTTTACTTTTCTCTGACAAATAGACCTTGTTTGCTTAGCTTTTCTGATGACACTCTAGTATTACTTCTGGGAAACTCTTTAACTATATTATTAAATATACTCTATTCATTCAATTCATGCTATTAAATATAAATATTGGTAATGCTAGCTGTCCTTCAGAATTTGTATTAAAAAATAGAAAAATACATAGATAGAGAGCTATAAAGAATTATAATTATTCTTCCCACAATTTTTTGAATGAGTACTAGCTTACCACCTTCTAGGTGTCAGATCTTGGGCAAGTTATTTACATCCTTGTATCTTAGTTTTCTCAGCTGTAGAACAAAGATATTAACAGAAAAATGTAATTATCCCAGTGTTATTTTAAAGATAAATGGAGATCATTCATATCAAAAACTTACAATAGAGTACAATAAATGTAGCTGCCATAACTATGTTTGTATTTTATAGACAAGCAAATAGAAACAAAGAGGGTAAATGATGCGGTCATGGTCACATAACTGGAAGAACTAGCATTCAAACCCTGGGTCTCTATGACTCCTAAACAACTAACTCCCTACTTAAAAATATGTCTTAATTTGCACTCTTGCTCAGTAAGGTTAAACAAAACCTCATCTCAGAACTGGAATGACAAGCTGAGGATTATGTTTCAGGCACATTAAAATGAGGGATTAGCCAAAACCGGTTTGGCTCAGTGGTAGAGCGTTGATCTACGGACTGAAAGGTCCCAGGTTCTATTCCGGTCAAGGGTATGTACATTGGTTGCGGGCACATCCCCGGTTTTTCCAACAAGAGGGAAAGAAGGGGGTGTGCAAGAGGCAGCTGGTCGATGTTTCTCTCTCATCGACATTTCTAACTCTCTCTTCCTCTCCTTTCCTCTCTGTAAAAAAATCAATAAAATACATTTAAAAAATAAAATAAAATAAAATAAAATGAGGGATTAACATAAGTGGGAAAATCCCAAATAGGAGCAAATGGGTTGAGAGCATGAAAAGCAGACTTTCACATCCGCAGAGACCATCTGAAGTGCTCTTTCTTCAAATGGACCTATTAAAGGGATGGGGAGGACATCCAGCAAACTGGACATCCAGTTCAAACTGAATTTTATGCCAAAGGGATTTTTTTTCAGATTGGGTTTATCAAAGGGACCTTAGTAAAAGACATACCTGGGGGTTTCTTAAAATACTAAATTCTGAACACCAGCCCAGACTTCCTTAATCAAAATCTTCTGAGCAGGGAGGACCCTATTCTTAAGTGTCCCTAATGAATCCCATGATGAGACAAGTTTGACAAATATTGCACAAATAATAAATTTTTTTAATCTGTTCAATTCAGTGATACAAGCATAGCCAGAACTAAGGATGGGAAGAAGACTGATACTTATTACAGAACAGGTAAATTTTCAGAGGAAACTGGAAAATCAGCTGAGTCACATTTATTTTTTTATGAGTATCTGCTCATTAAAATCAATGTAGCTTTTCTTGAGCAGGTGAACATTCCTGTTTTAACGAAAGATGTACTGTTTTTGTCCACTCTCAGTTCATGTGGAGAACCCATTTGGGGTTCTACCCCCCAGGTAGATTTTTTTAGCCTAAGGAAGAATGCAAAATTATAACAAATTTCTATTTAATAATAAATTTGTCATTGTTTTATTACCTGACTTGGGATTTAATATCAAAGAGTCAATGTCCCTTACTTATCATTAGTTTGGCAGCAGAAGAATGAGAGGTTTTTTGTTTTTGTTTTTATTGATTTGTCAAAAAATATGACTTGGTGAACTATAGGAAGGTGCCCCAAAATATTTCTCCTACTCTCCTATTCTGGTAGTAGAGATAATGTCCTATCAATTAAAAAAGTTAGACTAAAATTTAAATTAATTAAGTCTTATCCTATATAATAAAGACCTAATATGCAAATCAATTGAACAGCAGAACCACTAGTGGAACAACCGGTTGCTATGGCGCTCACTGACCACCAGGGGGCAGATACTCAATGCAGGAGCTGCCCCCAGGCTGCAGACCCCAGGCCAGCCAAGATAGGTCCCAGTGAGGGCCCACCAATCACCCCACCAGTCACCCCACAGATCAGCCCTGATAGCCGGCCAGGCCTAGGGGATTTCATGCACCAGATCTCTAGTTAGGTATAAAATAGTTAAGTATGTAAATCCATGGGAGCTGTAATAACATCACATTTTAAACCTGGCTTACAATTATATTCAATATAGAAACGTAAACAATTTTCTTTAGCAAAAGAAGACAAGGAATCTCTCTGCAGAGTGAAACATACAATGGGCAAAATTTCAGAAGCCAGTGAGGCCAGTGAGGCTCTTGATTACCAAGAGACTATACTGCCAAAGGGAGGAGGTACTGAAAAGGAGGCTGAGGCCTCCTCACCACTCCAAGACATTCCTCCATCCAAAATCAATTTTGAAAATAGATTATTCTTTAGTTTTCATAATTATAAAATCCTTCTACAATTACAACCACATTTAGTAGTGACAAGTTAAAACAAAATTTAAGAATTCTTGTCCCATCAGGTTGGTATTCAAAATTTAAGAATTCTTGTCCCATCAAGTATTAACCCATGAACCAAGAAGTCACACTTTGTTTCCCAGTCATAGCACATGCCCCAGTTGCAGACTCCATCCTCAGTAGGGGGCATGCAGGAGGCATCCAATCACTGATTCTCTCATGACACTGCCCTTTCTAACTCTCTCCTTCTCCCTTCCTCTCTCTGAAATCAATAAAAACGTTTTTTTTAAAGAATCCTTGTCCCATGCCCTGCTCAGAGGATGCTGAATTCTTCTAAAAGGTTCTTCAGTACCCCCTTGTGGCAGCTTTGGAACATGAAGAAAATGGGTAAATAATATATTTCTAGCACTTTTTCCAACAAGAGGAAGCACTCATCCCATACAGCATCTCATTTTTCTTCACAATATTTCTAGGAAGTAAGTATTACGATGATTTTCACATATGAAGAGGAAGCTGAGATTTAGAATATGCAACTTGCCCCAAAGAACATTGGTGGTGGGAAAACAACAAAAATGAAGGTCTGTAAGATTCCTGACCCCCCTCATACCTAGTAATCTTACTGAGGTATTGAAAGAGGAAAGCATGATCGTTCTTCAGCTATTATTCTGCTCTGCCTCCTTTATTGTCCTCGATACCTGTGCTCACAAGGAAGCAATATACATTTCTTTTATGTGTGTGTTTTTATTTAACATTTAGATATAATCTATCTTTTCCCAGCTACATATATAACATAAGGATTAGGAGTGCCAATCCCCATGCAATCAAAAATCCACAAATAACTTTTTACTCCCCTCAAAATTACTTACCATAATAATAGCCTACTGTTGACCAAAAGCTTTGCCAGTAATATAAACAGTCAATTAATACATATGTCATATATGTATTCATTATGTACTGTATTCTTTAATAAACTAAACTAGAGAAAAGCAAATGTTATTAAGAAAATCATAAGGATTGTATGTATGTATTGAATACTGTATGTATTTATTGAAAACATTGACATATAAATGGATGCAACCTGAAATATCACTGTTAGGTCTGATCAAATAATTGAATAGATGCCCCCTCCCCTGGGAAATGACCTTTAGGTCACTTCACAATGGACATTCCACTTGCTAAGAACATTATCTCCCCCCTCCAGACTTTCCCAGAATCCAGACCTGCACAGAGAATTCTCCACCAAGAAAAAGTCCTCCTAGAGTCCTTTAAAAACCTCTGATTCCCTCTCTTTAGGTGCTGGTGCCATCTGGGGGCTCAGCCCAGCTGGTATCCAGATGACCTAATAAATTCATAATTCTTTACCCCCTTTGGCCTCATGTGTTCCTCCTTTAATGAGCCTAACAATCACTTTCTGTCTTAAAATGTGACTCCCTCAAGATCCACGTTTAGACCCTCATTTAGCAAGGATCTTTACAAACTTAGACCCACATTTAGCAAGGATTCTACATACTGCTCTTAAATGACATGATCTGAGAGCAAATATTGTTTTAGCTTTGGTGATTCATTTTGAAACTAATAACCCCTGTGAAGCACATACACATGAAGAGCAGGCTCCTTCTGCTACATATAAAAGAGTCGATATCCCACAGTTCATTTGTTCCTAACTCTTCGAAAGTGAAGAATAGTATGAAGAAATAAAGTGGAGTCATTATAGTCAAGTTGCTAAATTACCAAAATCAATTAGGTTAAGGAATGAGGAAACAATTCTATTCTTGTTTTAACTAGCCTGTTAAACTTAAACTGAAATTAAACTTTTTAACTCTCCAGTCCTGCATCAATGCCTGATTATACATTAAACCTCTGGACAGCCCTCTGGTTACCCCCTAAAGGACTAAGGAAAAAAATGTTCATGTATCCAGACCACCTGACATCCATTAACCAGAGAACTGGTCTTCCTCCATCTTGGATCAATCCAGAGGCTAAGAATGCAAGGCTGATTCTTTCAAGACTGTACTTTTTACTTTAAGAACTCATAGCTTTTCTTTCTTCTTTGGAACACTCCAGGCATTACCTAGTTGTGTTCCCGATTTGCAAACTCTAAGATCCTTAAAAAATCTTTATCACGTATTTCTAGCAAAGCTTCCAGACTTCATTTGAGTTTGACAAAATCAAACAAACTTCTTGTACAGAAAATGTGAGAAAACTCAGATGTGATAGTGAGTTTTCCTGTGTCAATATGTTAGAGCAACTATGCTAGGTGCCTTTCATAAAGTGCAGTGGAAAGTGACCTAAACTGATGGTTTTGTTGATGTTTATCGCTTCCTCAATAACAACAGACAGAATCATTGAACAGCTAATATCCCCAATTCTAGCACCTGAGGGTATTCATTTTAATTAAATGAGTACTATTACTATGTTCTCTAACCAATGTTTCAGAATTTATTGGTTCTTAAAGAGGTGGAAGGTGGGTATAGCCTCCCCAGGGGAAATTTTAGAAGGGGTTGGCTGTCACAATAGCTGACATTAAAAAGGTAGAGACCTGGGGTACTAAATATGACCAAAGAAGGATGGTTCCCACTCCGAAGCCCACCAGTGGCAATAGCCCCTCCAGTGAGCCACACTGAAAGGCTCCACCTGGGGCCTGCTACCCAGGATGATGGACATGTACACTGCAGCCAAAAGGATCACATCACCCAGGGGTCAGATATGAAGAAGACTAGGAGACCAAGGGAGCTTTTAAATGCATAATTGTCACTTTTATTTGATCCTTTAGGAAAATGTGGAAGATGGCCGAGCGAGTATCTACCAATCTGTCATCACCAATACCAGCAAAGAAATGTCCTGTTTCAGTGACTTTCCAATGCCTGAAGATTTCCCAAACTTCCTGCACAATTCTAAGCTTCTAGAGTATTTCAGAATCTTTGCCAAAAAGTTTGATCTTCTCAAATATATTCAGTTCCAGGTATTGTATTTTGAGGGGAATTGTTTTCTCTACATTAGTTCACATCACATTTAAATCGAGAAGTTACTCTGCTAATGAAAGAGGTTTTAGATAAAGTACTGCAATTCAATTATTTGCTGAAAGAGGAAAGTAGAGAAAACCCAAAAAGAATGTCATTACCCTGATACTATAAATTGTATACATTAACAGAAGAGAAAAATCATCTGTTAAAAGTAAAGGTTTGTATGATGATGATGATGATGATGATGATGATGATAGGAAAACGCATTTAAACTAATATTTGTAACCACTGAAGAATCTTATCATTTCCCTTTAAAAAAAATCATATGGAAAAAAACACAAATAATCAACAACAAAACACCAATATCACAAATATCTCACTTAACATGCTGAATTTTTATCAATAACCTACACTCTGAGAACTATTAATTATGCTTAGGAAATAAAGTTTAAATTATTATCTCTGAGCACATAACTCCTAATGGAGCTTAGGGTTTTTTTCTAACACATCTCAGTTTTTCAGTAATTTTAGTTTTGCTCCAGGCTTGTATTATATTAATTTATAATAGTTGATCTTGGTGAAAATCTATATTTGTAAGCACTATTAAAATGTCAATGCCAGACTAGTGTGGCTCAATGGTTGAATGCTGACCCATGAACTAGGAGGTCACGGTTCAATTCTCAGTCAAGGCTCTTGCCTGGATTGCAGGCTCAATCCCCAGTGTGGGGCATGCAGAAGGCAGCCAATCAATGCTTCTTTCTCATCATGAATGTCTCTCTTCCTCTCCCTTCCTCTCTGAAATCAATAAAAATATTTTTTTAAATATCCAATCCCATCTGATGTTGTTTTTCCCAAATTCCTGGTAGATCATTTCTATAAATGACAGAACCTTTATATCAGAAGCTTTTATAGGTCTTTGTAGATGTATTACCCTTACATAACATGTAATTTATATTCTCTTTGTTGTTAATCCTCACCTGAGGTTATTTTTTCATTGATTTTTTAGAGAGTAGAGGAGGAAGAGAGAGAGGTGGAGAGAGAAAGAGAGAGGAGGGAAAGAAGGAGAAAGAAACATCAATATAAGAGAGACACATTCATCCTCCTGCACTCGCTCCAACTGGGGCTGAGGATCAAACCTCCAATCCAGGTACATGCCTTTGACCAAGAATCAAATCTGTGACCCTTGGTGGGTGGGCCAACACTCTAACCACTGAGCCCATGGTCAGAACAATCATCTCTATTCTTTGAAAGATCATGTTAGAGTTGCAAGGAAACTAGTTTTCTTATTCACTGTGTCACCACAACAATTGTTTTCTGGAGGCTGGAGAGGGGTTAGGAAAATGCATTTCCATGTTTTGGTCTCGGAGTTGGTATAAACCCTAAGATGTTAGGGCTCAACTCAAAATGTAAATGACATTGTTGCATGTCTAATCACCTTCCGAGTGATACTGAAGGTGTTGGTCCTTAAACCACATTTTGAATAGCAAGAATCCACAGGACTTTAGCTAGTATACTACTCTGGACTACAAATCTGAAATCTCTACTCTCTGCCAAAAATGCCCAGATGTTTTACAATACTTTCATAAGCTTTATATTAATATTCCACATACATTTTTAAAATTTGAATAGTCTCAAAAATTAGCAATGCTACATTTTGAAAAATATCTGAAAATGTGAAAAGCATGCATAAGAGGCTCAAATTCTTGCAAACAAGAGGAGTGGGCCTCTCCTCTAAAAGCTTTTCTCCTGAGAAAAGCTTTGCTTCCATTTGACATTGTTCTTAAATATAATAGACATCCGACCTTCACGTGTACTTTTAAAAACTCACAGACCTCCAGACAGTAAGCTACATTTTTTTTAAAAAATCAACAAACCACTAAATTATTTCATCCAAATGAGATCATGAACAGTATTGCTATCGTGATTTTTCCTGTTCTAAAAATATAAAATATACCATTCACGGAGTTCTGACAATATGCCAGTCGCTATGCAAATCACTTCTCATGAAACATCTTCTCTAGCACAGTGTTTGCACAGAAGTGGACATATGAAAGGTTCTTGATAAATACTATGTGATCTCTTGAATGATAAATATGGATTGAGCATCTTGCCCAGAGCTTACCAGCCACGCCTGCATCTCGCTCCAGTTTTCAGTCAGCTGAGTGAGGCCTCTCGCAGAAAGCAGCACGTCCTCAGGTGGTATCTCCCTATCAAAGAAGAATGAGAAGGCTGAGCAGAGCAGTCTTTGCCTTAACTGGCTTGAAATGGATTCAAATGGAACCTAAATTGTATCAAACATTGCATTCTACCCATCCCCACTCCTCAGGGCACTGGACAAGGCCCTGTATGCCAGATTAATTCTCAATGATGCCTTCTCTATGTTCATTTAAGACAACCGTCCTCAGTGTGAAAAAATGCCCGGATTTTTCATCCTCTGGCCAATGGGAGGTTGTCACCGAGAGCAAAGGCCAGGAGCGAAGTGCCATCTTTGATGCAATTATGGTTTGCAGTGGCCATCACATCCTCCCTCGCATCCCACTGGAGTTATTTCCAGGTGAGGCCTCGGGGGTTCCCAGCTTTTCAGAGAGGGTGTCTAGGTACTTTCTGTGCAGTTAGGAATGATCATCTTTGTTTCTGTTGACCTATTTGGTCTTGGTCACACAGGAATCCAGCTAACCTCCTCCAAAGTCAAGATTTCACAAAATTCACAGCCACATTGCCTCCGCCTTGGAGGCCTGTTCAGCCATGTGCCTGCTTTGGCCTTTTTCTATCCTGCCAAGCCGCTGTGACTTTTCTTGTCCTTGGAGCCTTTTCTGCAGAACCATGCCCATGGACAGAGTTAGTGAAGAAAGCTCCTAGAAATTCTTTTGGTCCTGGACCATATGCTTAGCGTAACATTTCTTATATGCTTTATACTTTCAGTTTATCAATTGACCTTGCTATAATAATTCCCCTAAGAGAGGAAGAGGCAAAGGAAATTATTAACCCCAGGAAGGTAAAAGTTGACAATGCGGTTTTCTTGAAATTAATTTGACATAGTTGACAGGCTTCTCTCTTTTTCCTCCTGAAGAAAGGTTTAAAGGCCAGCATTTTCACAGCCGCCAATACAAGAACCCAGAGGGATTTGAGGGGAAGCGCATCCTGGTGATTGGAATAGGAAACTCAGCCTCAGATATTGCCGTTGAGCTGAGCAAGAAGGCTTCTCAGGTGCAAAGCTCTCTGCTTACCTTGTACCTTGGATGAAAAGAACGGGGAGGGGGCACATTGGGAAATCTGAGCCATGTAATCAAGATTCCATTACTCCTTAACTGGTTGGTTGGTTGGTTGGTTGCTCAATTGCTTCATGTGATATCAGAAAATCTGTCTGTCAAGAAGCCACAGTTTACCTCCCAGCTCTGCCAACTATCAGCTGTGTAACCTAGGCTGAGTCATTTCACTTTTCTGGCTACAGTTCTCACACTTTGTAAATGGGAAGTTTTGACCAGATGACTTTCAGCCTAAGAGGCCTTGTTTCCACCCAAGGGCCTTAGTGAAAAGCTGACCTGTTCATATATGGGGCAGGGAGTGTGGGAACATTTAGAAATTTAGTGCACATTTGAATATTTGAAATGTAAATAATCCTCAGTTATCCAAACGTTGTGAAAAGAAAGATTAAATAGTAAGACTCCCAACCAAGATCATAGATATTTAGGTGCACACTGAGCCCTTTCAACTACTGTCATCTTTTACCTACTCAGGAATGACACAACTGAGCTGCGAAGGTATCAAACATTACAAAATGTAGATAATGCTGGCACTGATGATTGGGAATAACAGAAAATAAATCCCAGTAGAACAGACCTAGGCAAAGATGGGAAAATAGCTAGGGTTCCTCTCCCCAAAACATTCCCTCCCCACAGGGCCAGGGCCCAGGAGCCCTATCACTTGCACACTAGCCTCCTCTGCCTGGCTTCTTCTGGCTACATAGGATTTACATACCTATGTCCACAACCAGAAAAACTGTCCTGTTCTGAGTCTCATACTTTCATAGCTTGAGATGCCAGGTAGCAAACAAGATAAACAAATTTGGTGTAACCCCAGATTAATGAAGGATTTACACTGGAACCTGTCAAAGCCACCTATCTGATCAGTGCCAAGGAAGAAGGGGAAACAGTAAGTATTGGGGAAAGAACATGGAAATACTTCACAAGCTAAGGAGCTGAGGTCCTTCCCAGCAAAAACATGTGTCAATACAGGAAACTCCTCTCCTCCAGTCTAAATTTGCAAAGTAATAATAGCTAGCAGACAATAGTTTAAGTACTTTATACCACCTGATTTAATCTGTATAATAATCCCATGAGGCAGGTACTACTAATAAACCCATTTTGCAGAAAGAGAAACTTAGAGGCACAGAGAGGTTGAAATAACTTGCCCAAGGCAACAAAGCCTGTACGTGGTGGGGCTGGGGTTCAAACCTAGGGAGTCTAGATGCAGAGTCCTGGATCTGGAGTCCATGATCATAAACACTTAAGGGAACTGGTTTTCTTACACATGAATCATAGTTAACTGTTGTTTATCTGGGACTGCTTTATATATCAGAACTCATAAAATGGCAGGTAAAATTCAAATATGCATTTGGGCAATGGGGGATTAACAGTAAGCAAGGTAAACCACCTATCTGGAAATATATATATATATATATATATATATATATATATATATATATAATTTCAAAATTAGAGAAATATGAGTAACAAGGTAAAGAACATACCATGAAAGAAGACTCAGATGTGTATTTCAAGAGAATGGGAATTGTGGTATACATTCAGATTTTAACACTTAAAATACATAACTGTTCTTTTAAGTGTGGGAAGCTGACACCCCTTGGTATTCCCACTCTAAGGAAATACAGATCTATGCATGTACGTCTACATAGTCACTGGGCTGTCTTGGTACCTTTCTTAGGATTAATATACTTACCTTTACTATAAAAGAAATGTGGGCAGGTGGGAAGGTGAGAAGAGGGGAGGAGCACCAAACCACAACTGTAAATGTGGCAAAGACTTGTGGATTTTATGATTAGTATTAGCCCAAAGATTTTCTCACGTTTTCAGGAAAATTCTCAAGATGGTTATAGTCTTCCTCTATCAATGTGAACACCACTGTGTACTTCAATGATAAAGTTACAACAGAGCAGTGAAAGCAAAATGGTACTTCACTTGGAAGTCAATCATCTTTAAGATAAAGCACTGCAGGAAATTCAGGGGCCATACATAGTAGATTCCTCCCAAAAGGAACAAGGCCCTAACATAAACTGTCTTTCTTTTTGCTTGCCAGGTGTTTCTCAGCACCAGGCAAGGCTCCTGGGTCCTCGGCCGAATCTCTGACAATGGCTATCCCTGGGACATGGTGCTCCACACCCGGTTTCGCGCCATGCTCCAAAATGTCCTGCCACGAGCAGTTCAAAAATGGATGTTGGAACAACAGATGAATCAGTGGTTCAACCATGAAAATTATGGCCTTGAGCCTCAAAACAAGTAGAGTTATTTTGCTTTCTTTATGTATTTTATGTACTCAATGGTAAGCAAGGTTGCTAGTGTTGCCTCTCTTCACAAAGGGCCAAATTGCTAACATTGTATAGGTCTTGGAGTTTGAATTCCAAATTTGTTCTGTATGCATTTTAAAAAGTGAGTACTTAAAGGAGACATATGTACCACTATTTGCAATACTTCAAACAATAAAAAAATCCAGAAAAAAAATATATCATTAAAGCTGGGAAAGAATGAGAAGGGAAGCAATAAACTGAAAATCTTTGATAATTAAAGAAATTGAACCAGAAAGGAAAAAAAAATCAAGTAGAAATGGTATGAGCTGCTCAAAAAAAAAAAAAAAAAAGAACTTTCTATTATCTACAAGATGTAGATAATTTTCTATTACCCAGAGCTGTTCAACATCAGAAAGGCTGTTTAATGAGATTGTGACCTTCCTTTCAGAGGGTTGTGGTAGAAAATGTGTATCATCTGATGATTTATGTTCTGATAACTCTGTGTAGGGTTATCATGAGGGTACTTCCCATGAGCAGCTTTGAGAACATAATCACTGTCTCTTTGCAAAAAAGAAAATCTCTGTTTATCTCAAAGTTATACATCACAAACCTTATAAATTCAAGCAAACATTATAGATTTTTTTTCTTTAGTTGATAATAAGCTCTTCCCCTTAAAAAAAAAAAAAAAAAAAAAAAAAAAAAAGACAAAACACAAGAGCTTTAGAATCTTTCAGGAAATGCCATGTGACTTCTGTATGCTAAGATCTGATATCGGTAGCATGTATTGCCTTAAACCTACACGAAAGAGAATTTAAGAAATATAAGCAGATTTTGCTTCTCTGCCCATGCTATCACATATGGAGATTTCATGGAGATTTGAGATTAGCAACTATCTTCAATGTAATTCTATGCATTAATTTTCAAACTGATTCCTTACTAACTTTTAAAACTAATGGGAATTTAATATGTTTTCCCTTTCTTAATTATGACCAGATAGAGATTAAATGGAGCAAGATAATTAAAGGTAGATAATATAAAAGAATGTTAGAAACATCAATGGGCTGATAACCATTGGAATACTCAGTGCTTAACCATAGGCACCCACATTTTGTATAAGCCCCCGGGGATGCTTTCATTTTTTGAAATACCTTTCACCCCCATCACCCATATTTTTCCCTTTGTTAAAGGGAGAAATTTGTAACATGAAAATAAAGTCAGGTAGTAAATTTGGAGTCAAAGCCAACTAATCAAGTTAGAAAATTTTATGGATATTTGAAAATTTCCAGAGCCAAACCCACAAACTATCAAGACAGTTCAAGACTCCTCATTAAATGCTCCTTTTGAGTGTTTTCTTCTGTGTTTCAGATACCTTATGAAAGAATCTGTATTAAATGATGACCTTCCAAGTCGTATACTCTATGGAGCCATCAAGGTGAAGACAAGAGTGACAGAGCTCACTGAAACTTCTGCCATCTTTGAGGATGGGACAGTGGAAGAGGACATCGATGTCATTGTCTTTGCAACAGGATATACATTCTCTTTTCCCTTCCTGGAAGACTCACTTGTGAAAGTAGAAGATAATATGGTCTCGCTATATAAATACATATTTCCTCCTCATCTGGAGAAGGCAACCTTTGCCTGCATTGGTCTCATCCAGCCCCTAGGTTCCATTTTCCCAACTGTTGAACTTCAAGCTCGTTGGGTGACGAGAGTTTTCAAAGGTAAGTGAATGGCTGAGGTCTCACACCTGGTAGTGCTCATTAATGAGTTTAGACAAGAAGATTGCCAATCTTGGGTGCTCTCTTACGATTTACATCCTAAAAAGTTAGTGGAGACATCACAAAATAACAAATACAAAGATATAATAATAAACATCTGTAATCATTCCTTTAATATATTGGAAAGATCAGTAAATTTTGGATGTAAGGGTGATCTGGCTGCAACATCTGTCACCCCACTGATTGCACTGATCTGGCTGGCTAGGAGAGTGTCCACCTCCTCCCTCACTGATCTATGTGCATCCCTGCGAAACTGCATGCTGGGTCAAAAGGATGACCTTCCCCCCTTCAAAAAAAAAAAAAAAAGAAGAAGAAGAAGAGGACTGGTCTTCGGTCAAGGGTATAGAAGTACTGAGCTCTCCTGCTAGAACCTCCAAACAAGCCCACAACTTAAACCAGCCTTTTATATTCTAGGCCTGTGTACCTTGCCCTCAGAGAGTGCTATGATGGAAGACATTATCAAGAGGCACAAAAACAGAATTGACCTGTAAGAATTTTTTTTAATCTTTACCTAGAGCAGTGTTTCTCAAAGCACAGTGAGTAATCTTCCCAACTGTAAAGAACTACCTAGCTGCTCATTAAAAATGCAAATTCTATGGCAACAGCCCAGACCAGAATCAGAATCTCTGGATGAGACTGGATGTTTGTATTTTTTGTGTTCTTTCTAGATGATTCTTAAATACTAGAGGCCTGGTGCATGAAATTCATGCACGGGGGTTGGGGAGAGGGGTTGTCCCCCAGCCCAGCCTACACCCTCTCCAATCTGGGACCTCTCAAGAGATGTCCGATTGCCCATTTAGGCACGATCCCACCAGGATTGTGAGACATCCCTCTCACAATCCAGGATTGCTGGTTCCCAGCTGCTCACCTACCTGGCTGCCTGATTGTCCCTAACCGCTTCTTCCTGCCATCCTGATCACCCCCTAACTATTCCCCTGTAAGCCTAATTGACATCTATCTGCTCCCCTGCCAGCCCAATTGCCCCTAACTGTCCTCCCCTGCTGGCCTGGTCACCTCTAACTGCCCTCCCCTGCAGGTCTGGTCCCCCCCAACTGTCCTCCCTTACAGGGCTGATCCCTCCCAAATGCCCTACCCTGCTGGCAATCTTGTAATGGCCATCTTGTGTTCACATTGGGACGCCATCTTGTGTGTTGGAGTGATGGTCAATTTGCATATAACCTCTTTATTATATAGTAATTTAACAATCAACTACTTAAAAATAGGAATTTTACCAAATGAGAACATTTTTCCCTTGACTGAATTTCATTTGTTTGGTATGATGCCCATATTAAATTCCATGTCTTCTCAGGCCACTCACACTCTGTATTTAGAGAAGGAATGGTGTTAATGTAAGAAACATTCAAACCTCTGAAGAATTTTTGGGGTTTATTTGAGCCAAACTATTGACAATTGCCAGGAAGCAGAATCTCAATGGATTGAGATAATGCTTGGGAGAATGACAGTTTTATACCTTATTTTATACATTACAATCAAAAGAGGAGACAAAAAATTATTTGAGTTATATGAAATCTACTGGTGATAGATTAAGGAGGTGGGAGAAAGCAAAAGGGGGGTCTCTGTGATTGGATAAAAAGTAAAATGATAGACACATACATGTGTGATATGAAGGTTCGAGGATTTCTACTTTGTGATTGAAGTGGAATGAGGTTCAAGTGAGTTAAGTCCACTTGGAAAGTAGACTTGGAGCTTTATATGATATGAAGGGGTTAGCTCATGTCCAAATACTCATTCACCTAACATTTATTGAGCATCATATGCCAGCCAGAGGGCCAGGGAGTCTACTAATTTAACAAGCAAATACTAAGTGTCGCCTCTGTGCAAGACAATGGGCTAGATTTTCATCTATGTTACCTCATCAATCTTGACAACAATCCTGATTAGTTGGTACTTTGCTTAGTAAATACCAAATAGTCATCATGATTGTAAATGTTGTCACATTTCTCGAAGTCTCATGTATTTTACAGTCTATGGTCAATCTGAAATATAGGCCTCGTGATGGGATAAACCAACACTTTCCATTTATTTGTTCACTCATTCCTTCACCCTGACAATAGCTATCGAATGCCTACTGTTCTTATATAACTGAACATCTTGTGACTCTGCCCTTCTCACTTTCTTCATTAAGGTTTGGAGAGAGCCAGAGCCAGATTCTGCAGACCAAGTACATCGATTACTTGGATGAGCTCGCCGCAGAGATAGGTGCGAAGCCAGACCTCCTCTCTCTCCTGTTCAAAGATCCTAAACTGGCTGTGAAACTCTATTTTGGACCCTGCAACTCCTATCAGTATCGCTTGGTGGGGCCTGGCCGATGGGAAGGAGCCAAGAATGCCATCCTCTCCCAGAAAGAGAGGCTGCTGAAGCCTCTAAAGACACGCACTCTAGAGCCGGCTTCTAACTTCCCAGTTTCCCTCCTGTTGAAAATCCTGGGGCTTCTTGCTATTGCTTTGGCCTTTTTTTTCTAACTTCAGGCTACGAATCCACCAGCTTTTGGCCTCATTATCAGTCAGTACCACTTAGAGGGGGAAAAAAGACCAAAAGAAAAAATATTAAATATATATTCTAAAGTTTAGAGTTAAGAAGGAAAAAGTAAGAGAGGTAACTGTGGAGAATTAGCAGGATTGGGTCTATGTATGAAACCAAAACAGTGACATGAAATGTCTTCGCTATTTCACTCTTCCCTCAAGTTATCTAGACTTTCCAAAAAGGACAATCAAATAACACGGGCTAAATAGTGTCACCAGCCTTGATACAGGCGAGCTGTGCAAAAAACAGCAGAATTACACAGAATGAAGAACAGGTCCCACTGTTTAAATCACTGGAAATTTTAAGTTACAGGTACATATTTAAACACCTGTTTAAACAGATTCCTATCCGGATTCTATTTGGTGACAAAGTTCTCAGACATTAGGTCACACTCCATTTGCCTGGTGGGGAATCACTCAAAAGTACTGGGGCAAAAAATGAAAATAGACTTTAAAGCCATGGCAATACTCAGACACTAAGTCTCTCATATCAAAAGCCAAGCATTTATTATAATTCTTATATTTTCTTATATTTTTCTTATATGTTGACAGAAACACTGCTATAAAAATAAACATCCCATGATAGATATGTGCTATATACTTAGGACTTATTATGTGTATTATATCATTTAATTCTCAAAACAATTGCAGGAGTTGGTTGCAGCTATTATACCAATATAGCAGATATTAAATTGAGATTCATAGCAATTGAGTGACGTGCATAAGACCATATAGATGGTCTTACGATGGAGCTGGCATTAGAACCCAGATTTGCTTGACTCCAGAACTAAAGATGATAACCTTGCCCTATAATATACTTAATTACAAAAATCTCTAGTATTGATAAAGTACTGAATAGTATATATTATTTATAATCATATGTATACTTTTGTAGGATAGCACTCATTGTAAGTATGATCTGATTATATTTGGTTTAAAAATCAGCTAAACTTAAGAAGCATTTGAAGTAATTTTACTGTGAAAGATACCTATACAATAGCATTTTAGATCAACATTTTGGAAAAATAATCATCAAGAGGAAAAGTATATTTCCCAAGTAGATGAAAATCATTATGAAGACTGAGCTTTGTATTTAGTTTTAACCTTACAGATAACCTAGGCAAAAAGCTAAATCATATGTAATATTTGTCATCTGATCAAAGAAAGCATACCAGTTTGTCAGGAGAAACAAACATTTTCTTAAAACTGAAGTCCAAAAAGACCCAGGCAATTCAATGTCAACAAACATTGAGCAATGTAATAAACATCTGGTTATGAAACTACACACCCACTGAGCTTTGAGAGATAAACTCTGCCATAGGCCCAGACCAAGGCCTTCAAAAAGAGGTAAAAGGTCAGAGGTTAAAGGATTTAGGCAAATTTCTGCTTACTCCTTCAAAGCCTCTGCTGACATTGTTCTTCACTTTGCCTGCATTTGTCGGTCAAAAACCTAGAACAGTGGTTGGAAAACCACGGCTCTCGAGCCACATGTGGCTCTTTGGCCCCTTGAGTGTGGCTCTTCCACAAAATACCACATGCGAGCATGCACGTACAGTGTGATTGAAACTTTGTGGTCCATGTGCAGAAGTCTGTTTTTGGCCTGGGCGAGTCTATTTTGAAGAAGTGGTTCTAAGACTGAGCCACACTCAAGGGGCCAAAGAGCCACACTCAAGGGGCCAAATGTGGCTTGAGAGCCGCGTTTGCCAACCACTGGCCTAGAGTAATACACTGATAATCTCTATCTGCTGAAACTTCTTCCTTAAAGTCCATTGAAATATCAGCATTTAAATACAAGTTTGTTTTTTCATTGTTCCTGTCAGCAAATTCCTTTGGGGGAAAAATACAGATAGTGTATATACTTAGTTCTTGATGAAAAACTGATTACTAATTCTTAAAGGTTATTCAACCCTTTCTAGCAAAAGTTAGAATATCCAACCTAACCCCTATTTCTGTATATAAAATATTATTGGAGCATAGCCACAACTATCCATTTATTATCTGTGGCTGCTTTCAAGCTATAATGGCAGAGTTGAGTAGTTGCAACAGAAAAAGTATGGCACACAAAGCCTAAAATATTTACTATCTGACCCTTTGCAGAAAACATTCGCCAATCCGTTTTATGATGTGCCAAACATTGTCCTAATTGTCATAGCCTCATTCATCATTACCAGTACACAGTAACTATGGATACTATCCTTCTTTTAGTGGAAGAGATTGAGAAACAATGGCCAGATTAATGCTGAATCAATGTAGGGAAACAGCTCTATTAGGGACAAAACTGTTATTAAATTTGTATCCTTGAAAATTTTAGAAAGAGGATGACCCCTCAAAATCTTTCCAAATATTCTGGTACCTTTTCAAAATAAATAGTAAATAGGACTCATCCAATCTCTTATTTTATGTCCATACATCCTGATAAGTGAAACTATCCCAAACAAACGGACTGGGATAGCTTGTTCCAAACTATTCTGACTGCGTAAGAATAGCTCAGGAAGCTTACAGAAGGGCATGTTCCTGGATTTAAATGTAAGGGTAATTCAAACCAGCTGAATTGGAATTTCAGATGGAATCTCCAGTCTTGATAAGCTCCCTAGAAGATGTTTGGGCACATTAAATTTAGGAACCATTCATTTGAGTTCTCTCCAAAAAAATAAATCTGCTTTTAGAGATTAGCCCATGACCTTTTCCATACAGCAGGGCCAAATTCCTCCTGTGGTTCAGCCCTGGTGCCTCTTGCTATAGTCCACGGTGTTAGCTGGTTATCACCATCTTCCCAATGATGTGATGGTCCCCTTACTAACTGGTCCCCTTACTGGCCTTTCACTTTAATTCTTCTCCATATGCTATCTGCTTGATTTTCCTATCTAAACCCAAACATATTACATTTGTTCTTTATAAAAAAAATAAAGACATTTTTCAAATAAAACTCTTGAACCATTATTTGTGACAAATTTTTAAATAAAGGACAGTTCTAACACTTAGCCCAGACAGAACCAGCATTCACAATACAATGAGGATGTCAAAGATAGATTCTTCCTGCTAACTAGTCTTTCATCCTGAAAGCTGCTGTTGCTGACCTGCATCTCCCAGTGCAGAGTTGTTGGCTGTTTCCCAGGAGGTAGATGTTTACATAGAACATAATTGCCTTAGGAGGTCACAAATCCATGAGTCATAAAATTAAATTTAAAAAGGCTCATGGCCCTGGCCAGTGTGGCTCAGTTGGTTGAGCATTATCTCCTGCACTAAAAAGTTGCTGGTTCAATTCCCCATCAGGCCACATGCCTGGGTTGTAGGCTTGATCCCCAGTTGGGGGCATGAAGAAGGCAGCTGGTTGATGCTTCTCTCTCTGTCCCTTTCTCTCACTCTAAAAATCAATTAAAACATTTTTTAAAGGCTCCTGAGATAAGATTCCACTTAGTCCACATCAGATGCCACAATGAGATTAAACATGCAAGGGTTTTATTAAGGAAAATGCCTTAATAATGAGGGAAAATAGAGAGAGTGCAGGCAGATGCTGGAAAAGTCATCAGACAGCAATGCATGTCTGACCCTGAGTGAAGGAGAGAGGAAAGAAGCATTAAGTAGAAATACCCTAGTTGAGGCTATGTAGTCTGGGGAAGTTGCAACAGAGTCCTCACTCCACCGGAGAAGTCCTGGCTCTCCCATGAATGGTCTGCTTCAGTCCCTCTGCCACATCAATCACCGCTGGAAGGAGCTCATACAAAAAGGGGGCAAAGCACCAGTACAGCAATGTACTGAGTGCAGCAGCTCAAGCCTTGTTCAAGTAATATCCTGTGATGAGGCATCCATGAAGCACATTCTCATGGCTCCCACAGGTTCATAATATCATTTTTCTGTTTTTTAATTCATTGATTTGTAGTCTTTAAATTAATTTACCTAGTTAGTTACGTGCTGTGGCTGTCATTCACAGCCAACTCTAAGACCCTTCCCCCTGCAAAAAAGAAATTAAGTTAGGGTGCCATTGTGGCATCTACACATGTTCATGAATTCTCATGTTAACTTTTGCAAATATGGGAACAACTCAAATGAGACCTTGGTGACCCATCAAGCAATTTTTAAAATATATATTTTATTGATTTTTTTTTTTTAACAAGAGGAAGGGAGAAGGATAGAGAGTTAGAAACATCAAAGAGAGAGAAACGTCGATCAGCTGCCTCCTTCATACCCCCTACTGGGGATGTGCCTGCAACCAAGATACATGCCCTTGACCAAAATCTGGGATCTTTCGGTCCACAGACTGACACTCTATCCACTGAGTGAAGCGTGTTAGGGCCACCAAACAGATTTGAAGCAAACAAAAAATTTTAAAGAAAAAAGAACTCTTAACGGTAACTTTGAAACTTATTTTGTGCTCTCCCTTTTTTTCTCTCTTTCCTTTTTTATCATCATCATTCTTATGTTTCCCTATTCATTTCCTTCACTTGCTAAAAGACAACCTTTAGCTATAAATTTCTAGTTTTCCCCAATGGCTCTAATTCTAAATAGTCTGTGAATTTGTCTCTCTAAAAAGACTCAAAATTGCCAAGGCAGATAGCCACAACAATATCAAATCAAGGAAAGCCTCCTGAAGATGTGCAAACAACTGGCAACATCTCTTGGGGGCCTACCATGTCCCAGGACTGGGCTAAATGCTTTTCATACATCAGTTGATTCATTCTTACAACAGGTTCTATCTCTAGCTTCATTTTCTGGAGAAGGTACCTGAGACGAAAAACACTGTGTGTGCCTAACCTCACACAGCTGGTACTTAGCCAGCACTGAACTTCCAGCCTGGGTCTCTGGCGTGGCAGCTTCCCTGCTGTCCCTTGAAAAGCCACAGGGAGATCTACTGCTCCAGGTGGCTGGCTGCAGCTGGTGCTGGCGGAGTTACAGTGGTGGCCTGGGGAGGTGCTTTTCTTTTAATCCTCCCCTGAGGATAT